TCAAAAGCCAGGATGCTGCAACACGATCGCTGACGGGAGTGAGGCCTTGTCAGCACGGAACATCTGTGCTCAGAGATGTGCCGTGGATTGCCAATTTGCTATCAGGCCAGGTTCAAGGTGCTACTCTCCGTATACAAAAGCCTTTAACAACCTGGACCAGTTTCCCTGCAAAACTGTCTCGGCCCATATATCCCCACCAGACTGCTTTGATCAACAGAACTGGCGCAGTTATGGATGCCACACAACAACCATTCTGCCTTTACAAGAGACTGAGCTTTTGGTGCCTATCAATATCAAGCAGGTGCCTTCACTGTATTATTTTCGGCGCCACCTAAAAACATTTTTGTTTAGACAAGCCTACTCAGAAGCTCGGCCAATAAAGCGAGATGAGCGCCGCAACCCCAGAGTCGGTCACGACTAGACCTAATGGTCAGGGGTCCCTTCACCTTTACCTTTACCCAGAAGCTTAGAAAGCTGGTGAGTGTTTTAATAAGTTTTTGTTGTTTTGTTGTTGTTTAGTCGTTTAGTCGTGTCCGACTCTTCATGACCCCATGGACCAGAGCACGCCAGGCACTCCTGTCTTCCACTGCCTCCCGCAGTTTGGTCAGACTCATGTTTGTAGCTTCGAGAACACTATTCAACCATCTCTGTCGTCCCCTTCTCCTTGTGCCCTCCATCTTTCCCAACATCAGGGTCTTTTCCAGGGAGTCTTCTCTTCTCATGAGGTGGCCAAAGTATTGGAACCTCAGCTTCAGGATCTGTCCTTCCAGTGAGCACTCAGGGCTGATTTCCTTAAGAATGGATAGGTTTGATCTTCTTGCAGTCCATGGGACTCTCAAGAGTCTCCTCCAGCACCATAATTCAAAAGCATCAATTCTTCGGTGTTCAGCCTTCTTTATGGTCCAGCTCTCACTTCCATACATCACTACTGGGAAAACCATGGCTTTAACTATACGGACCTTTGTTGGCAATAAGTTTTTAGCCCATTGTTATTTAAAATTTTCGGATGTCTTAAATTATTGTTGCTAATTCTTCTTATTGTTTTATCTTTTACTTTGTAAACCGCTTTGAGGGTTTCTTTTACAATCAAGCAGTGTATACATTTTCAGAAATAAATAAAAAGCCAACATAACTTCTGTCTGTTTGGTTAGGCTTCTCTGAACAAAAGATAATGTTCTAAGAAGGTGATGTTTCATATTGTAAGATCATCAGGGCAGGGACCCTTCTCCTCCTACCCACATCTTTGTGCTATTCTGTAAAAAAAAAACATAGTGCGTATTTACTGCACTGCCACAATCGCAACAAAGGCAGGCGCATGCCTGAGGTTTTATAAAAATTACAAATCTTCCAGAGGGAGACGTGTTTGTCCTTTCTCCAAAATGCTAGATTAGAAGTTGGGGGCGGAGGAGATCCTGGAGGAAATCAATTGACAGTAAATCCCCAGCAGACGAGAGTTATAAGGACACTGTTCATACAGTATAAAGGCAAAGCCTCACCAGCTTCGCTAGCCCCCAGGATTGATCTGCCCAGCCACCATCAGAAATCTTTCAAGATGGATCTATGCTCACACCTGAGAGATGCAGAGTTGGTTCCATAGTCAATGTTAGCTGTGTAATGTATGGCAATTAGCAAGGGCTGTATCTCGGTTCCGATTACACCTACTGAAATCGATCAGCATGACAAACTGAGGTCCATTAATCTCAATGGGTCTACTCTACGTAGAATTTAGCTGGATGCCACCCACTGTACCCCAGGGAAGAGGAAACTTCTTTTGTTTCTTTTAGCCCGAGGGCCGCATCCTATTCAAGGTAACCTTCCAAGGCCCACATGCTAATGGTGGGCGGAGCCAGAGGTTAAGTGGGTGGAGCAACAAGCAGTGAATTTTACCATTGTTACAGCAGGCTAGTTTCTGTAGACATGCCCTCTCTATCCTCCGTTCAAGGAAACAAGAGCCCTGGCTCAGTTGGAAGAGCATGAAACTTTTAATCTCAAATTGGATGAGATTAAAAGCATGGCAGGGGCTTGGACTAGATCAGTGGTTCCCAAAGTAGGCGGTACTACCCCCTTGGGGCAGTGGGGGGTGCTGGAAATGTAAATCACTGCCAGTCTTAGAAAAGATGGTAGTTCATCAGTTTTCCTGAGTTAGGACTCAGCTAGATTGGTAAAAGGGACACGGGTGGTGCTGTGGGTTAAACCACAGAGCCTAGGACTTGCCAATCAGAAGGTTGGCGGTTCGAATCCCTGCGATGGGGTGAGCTCCCGTTGCTCGGTCCCTGCTCCTGCCAACCTAGCAGTTTGAAAGCACCTCAAAGTGCAAGTAGATAAATAGGTACCACTCCAGTGGGAAGGTAAACGGCGTTTCCGTGCGCTGCTCTGGTTCGCCAGAAGCGGCTTAAGTCCTGCTGGCCACATGACCCGGAAGCTGTACGCCGGCTCCCTCAGCCAATAAAGCGAGATGAGCGCAACAACCCCAGAGTCGGTCACAACTGGACCTAATGGTCAGGGGTCCCTTTACCCCTTTACCTTTAGATTGGTAAAGAAAAAGAGTTTTATATGTGTTGTATATGCATTATAGCACTGTGACACCAGGTGGCGCTGTGGAGCTCCATTTTTGCCAAGGCAATTTCTCATGCAAAGTTTACAACGCCTTTTCCTGAAACGCTTATTTGATGTGTCTGGATCCAGCCCTAGTTAAGTCAAATAGTTTTAATTTGATTTTGAATACATGCACAATTAATTGTTTTCATCTTAGTGTTATTGTGTTATCATCTTAGTGAGTCGTGCAAAGTGCTAATTCTGAATAAGGGGCGTTGGAGGTGAATTTATGGAACAAAGGGGGTGCTCTCCCTCCAAAAAAGTTTGGGAACCCCTGGGCTAGATGACCCTTGTGGTCCCTTCCAACTCTACAATTCTATGACATCATGGACACATTTCAGCCATGCAAAAAACCCTCAAGGAGGGCATGAAGAAGAAACAGTGAAGCTTATGGTCTGCAGAGAAGGGGTGCAGCTGGGGTGCAGTGCAAGAGAGTCCCGAGCCCCAGACAGAGAGGCTTAAAGCAAGATACAGATTTGGGTCTGAGCTTCCCCAACCCTGCTCTGTAGATCTGTTACAGTCAATAGCTGTTGGGAGATTGTCAAATAATCTCTTTGTTAAGTTGTAGGTGAACATATCAGACGACACAGCGATTCTTCAAACAGCTCTTATTTATTCACAGACCAGAACAGAACTGAACTGAAGGGTTCAGTCAGCCTGCTTATATAGAGCTCCAGTACGACGTTACTGTAACAACTTTCTAAAACTATCCAATCACTGAACGTCACTTTCGATCCCTTATTTGCATAACTATCTACAGTATCCCCCTGCTGGCCCAGGGTGAGAACTTCAGTACATAACATTCTTTATCAGCAACCTTACTTCTTGTGACAGCGAGGTTCCCAAGTTAACCAAAAGTACAAATTAAGGGAGGGCCTGCAGCCTTTGCAAGCAGAAGGTCCCAGGTTCAATCCCTGGCAACTCCAGGGTAGAGCTGGGAGAAAATCCAGCCAGAAACCCTGGCCAGCCGCTGCTGCCAGTCAGTGTAGACAATATTGAGCTAGGCAGACCAATGGTCTGTCTAGGCATAAGGCAGCTGCTTCCTGTATTCCTATATACAGTGGTACCTTGGGTTAAGTACTTAATTCATTCTGGAGGTCCATTCTTAATCTGAAGCACCACCTTAGCTAATGGGGCCTCCAGCTGCTGCTACGTCGCCGGAGCACGATTTCTGTTCTCATCCTGAAGCAAAGTTCTTAACCCAAGGTACTATTTCTGGGTTAGCAGAGTCTGTAACCTGAAGCGTATGTAACCCAAAGTACCACTGTATTGAGTACCATGAGGACTGGAATCTTACTTTAATTTTGGGGGAAAACCATAGCTCCGTGGCACAACACCAGCTCCTTAATGTTCCTTGCCTACAATACGTGAATTAGTTTCACGACCATCTCTCTTCCCAGGCACCCAACGCTCTCATTGGCCCAGCTGCAGTGATTCAAGAAAGGGAGCATCCAAAATTTATTTCAGGAAGAGCTGGTAGCGGAGAGAAGAGGGGTTCAGCCCGCAATAAAAACCAGGTTGGTGTAAAGTTGAAAAGCTAATGCCGGGGTTTTTTTTTCTGGGCGGAGGAGGTGCGGGGGGAAGAGAGAGAAATAATAGGCCAATTTCTGCTGAATCGCCTCCCTCGCACAGACCATTTCACGCCTCTAACAAAAACTGGGAGAGAGAAAAAACTTTTGCCTACGAAAGCAGGCGCACGGCAATAAACTAGGCAGCCTCGAATGCGCCGCAGAGATTTTTGTCTCCCCCTCGGGGGCAATGAAGGGGGTTTAGCATGCGAGTGGCAGAAGAAGATGCGGCTGGATGCGGCCCTGCAGCCACACTGGACAGCCCGGCACGTCCAGCCTGGCACAGCAGCAGGATTACCGTCCATCAGGCTTAGAAAACGGAGACAGGAGACAGGGGGGCTTCGGTGGGGGGAGGCCAGACAGAAACGTGCTGAGGAATCAAGGGAGCCTGCTAGACATGGCTTCAAATGCCTCATAAGCACCAACAGGTCACCCGTTCCGCATAATACATTTTTCCTGCCCTGTCTTCACGTTTGTTCCCCCGCTAGTGGAAGAAATTAAGTAAGAGGCGACATGATTGAAGTTCATAAAACTTTTTCCACGTAGAAAAAGAACTACACAACTTTCAGAATACATCCGAAGGCAGCCCTGTGTCGGAAAGTTCTTACCGTTTGACGTTTTATTGTGGTTTTATATGGGTTGGAAGCTGCCCAGAGTGGCTGGGGGAACCCAGCCAGATGGGTGGGGTATAAATCATAAAATTATTATTGTTATAGAGCAAAGTTCTTCTTTCTCTCTCAGGACACCAGAAAGAGTGGACATTCCGGGAGGCTGAATGTTAGAAGATTCAGGACAGAGAAAAGAAACTGCTTCACGCGGCTCATAGTTTTTTTTGGGTTTTTTGTTTTTTTCAGAAGTTCAAAAAGAACTTTATTGAAACTCAGAGCAAATGAACCAAGTCTGCATTTAGAAGAACGTGTTTGGTCTCTTGGTGGTGAAGCGTGGCTTATGTTGACGACGCAGAACTCTATGTGGCAGAGGGAACTTGATTTTGGAATCATGGAACTGCTTGACAGCTGGTCTGCGGCGCTTGTTAGCAGCGATCTCTTCAACTTTCATGATCTGAATTGAGTGAGCACGAGCTCCCATATCGCGATAGCACTGTGTAACAGCTCCAGCAGTTGTCAAATCCCTGTACTCCCTGTACATGTTATGCGTTCCACTACGAGAATCATAGCGCAGCCAGATACCGAAATTTTTCACCTTCAACGGAGACTTCTCAAAAACCTGTCCACAGTACACAATTTCCCCAGAAGATTTCTTCATCTTCTTCAGCTGAGAGACAAAGTACCAGAAACGGGACTTTGCAACAACATGATTAGGAGCAAAGATGCGCATACGATAGAGAGGTGGGGTTGGGCACTTAGGAGTGGGGAGGCATCTCCCAACAACTTTTTTTTTTTAAAATGATATTAAAATTTCAAAGGATACAAAAGTTACACAAAAACAAAAAGTACAAAAAGTAAAAATACAAGAAAATAGAAAATACAGAAAAAAGAATAAAAAACAAAAACAAAACAAGTTCATTATTTTCAGACCCTTAACTGTCATTACCTTCTTTCATAGACCTCCTCCTCCTCCCTTCCTTTGTATTCTAGTTATTAATTATCCCAGCAAATCCTTTCCTTTCCATGTGTCATAAAATTCTATCATTACATTACCCTCGACTAATTTAATCCTATCTTTCTATAATAAAGTAAACCTTAAAATTTAAAACTTAAGTCTTAACCTTACCAGCTTCTTATAATCATAATATTCTTTCATAATTCTTTATGCATCTTTACTAAAGCCAGGTAATTTCTTCCAACATTTTTCTATCATTCATCAACTTTATAAAACATTCTGATAATAAAGAAAGAGAAAAAGCAAGATATAGACAAGTCCAATCTTTATCCAACGTCCCTTCCTCCTGGTTCCGGGATTTGTCAGTCCTTATTCCCATCAGTCTAACCCGGTAACCTTATGTCCGAGGCCCTCAGGTCACTTCCATGGCCCTTCCGCGGCTCTTCTTCATATTTATAACTGTAATTTTCCTTATTTCCTTGTGGTAACTCCAGCTTGACAATGTCTCTTGCTCGTGGTAACTCCAACTTAATAATGTTTTTAACCCTTCTCGTCAGATCAGACCCTTTTCCAACTTTGTACTCCCTCAGGGTGCCCGACGCCTTCATGGTGCTGCCTCTCTCGCGGCCACCCAGAAAAGGCCACGCGGCTCATAGTTAAACTATGGAACTCTCTCCCACTGGAGGCAGCAATGGCCTCCAATGTGGATGGCTTTAAAAGAGGATTAGACAGATTCGTGGAGGAAAGAGGGCTGTCAGTGGCTACTAGCCACAATGGGCTATGCTCTGCCTGAAGCAACAGGGCCCTTCTTATGGGCTTACCAATGTATCTTTGAATTTTGTAATGCAGTTCTCCTGCTGAGTAATTGGGTGGGGGGATGCACAGACTGGGGTAAAGCATGCATCGAAAAGCATATAAAAATGCATCATGTTAGGGGGAATAGCTGTTGCAAAAATCTGTAAGGGTATATGAAAATGTTCCGATTGGGAGAAATTTGCAGTTAGAAATATGGTGAATGTTCACAAGGGCTTTAAAACGAAATACAGTGGTACCTCGGGTTGAGTACTTAATTCGTTCCAGAGGTCCATTCTTAACCTGAAACTGTTCTTAACCTGAAGCACCACTTTGGCTAATGGGGCCTCCAGCTGCCGCTGTGCAGCCGGAGCACGATTTCTGTTCTCATCCTGAAGCAAAGTTCTTAACCCGAGGTACTATTTATGGGTTAGCGGAGTCTGTAACCTGAAGCGTCTGCAACCTGAAGCGTATGTAACCCGAGGTACCACTGTATCAAGCTGAGGTTGAAATGGGAAGAACTGGATTTAAGCCTGGAAATGTGAAAAACAGAGAAAATGAAATCGACAGGTTCATCCAGCCTTTCCACCCCCAGCCTTGTGTGCTTTAAAAATCACATTCCGAGTCTAACATCTTTCCAGTTTAATCCTCAGTGGTTCCGAGGATGCCCAACCTACAATCGTAAGCTTCCACGTCCTCCATCTGCCAGGAAGATCCTATTCACTTCCTAGTGAATAACGGGTGAGGAAGGGGCAACAGAAAACAATTTCTTTTAAGCTTAGCCTGCCTCCTTTCCAGTAAAAAACTAAAAACAAAAACAACCCACCACTGTTCTCCACCAACACACACACACATATCAGGGTCTCTGTACAACTATCAACCTCTCTTTTGTGGGTGATATGCCCTACAGGGACGCGGGTGGCGCTGTGGGTTAAACCACAGAACCTAGGATTTGCCGATTGGAAGGTCAGCGGTTTGAATCCCCGCGATGGGGTGAGCTCCCGTTGCTCGGTCCCTGCTCCTGCCAACCTAGCAGTTCGAAAGCACAAAGTGCAAGTAGATAAATAGGTACCGCTCCGGCGGGAAGGTAAACGGCGTTTCTGTGCGCTGCTCTGGTTTGCCAGAAGCGGCTTAGTCATGCTGGGCACATGACCCGGAAGCTGTACGCCGGCTCCCTTGGCCAGTAAAGCGAGATGAGCGCCACAACCCCAGAGTCAGCCACGACTGGACCTAATGGTCAGGGGTCCCTTTACCTTTACCTATGCCCTACTAGGCCCCGTTGGCATGGCAACACAGAAGGATCCAATTCCCCAAGGAGGCTGCCACCTTTGCCACGTGCTCTTCCCTATTGGAACTGATGGGGCTAAAGTCCGAGGCCCTCATAAGACCATGAGAAGAGTCCTGCTGGATCAGGCCAGAGGGGCTCTTCTAAGTCCAGCGGCCTGTTCTTACAGCGGCCAGGCAGACACCCCAGTGGGCAGCCCAGGGCCTGAGGGCTCCAGCAACTCTCCCCACTTGTGATTCCCTGCAACTCTTATTCAGAGGCACATTGTTACTGCCTCTGACGGCGGAGGTGGAGGACAGCCATCATGGTATATACAGCAATAGGGGGGGAACCCCGTCTCAAAATGCAACCTCGCTGCGTTTTAAGCCACCAATGTGTACATAGCCCACGTTTTTTCTCACACACAAACTCCGATCTCGCAACCGCCAGGGGATGCTGGTGGAGGGGGAAGGAATGGAGGAAAGGAATTCCTCGTTCCTTAATAATCCCTAAGCTCAAGTCCTCCGTCCAATTAACCCACGTTTAGAGGATTCGGCAACACACAGACTTCCTTGCAGGGGAGCCGGCACGCTACGGCAAAGTACATCCACAGTCATGTCTGCATTCTCTGTGGAGGCCTAGAAACCTGCTGCATCAAGGCACGCTTGGGGATTTGGTTCTGTCTGTTCTTTTCCCTTTATTTTATTAAGCAAACTGACCTGGTTTGCACTTCCCAGCTTGGATGGCTTTGAAAGGGGAATCAGGCAAATCCACGGAGGAGAAGGCTCTCTACGGCCACAATGGCTACGTCAAAGGCGTTTGTGGGAAAACTGTAGACTTGGGTACAAACCCATCCAGATATTCAGATTAATTTGCAAAGGGTAACACTTGAGACAGGGATGCGGGTGGCGCTGTGGGTTAAACCACAGAGCCTACGACTTGCTGATCAGAAGGTCGGCAGTTTGAATCCACGCGACGGGGTGAGCTCCCGTTGCTCGGTCCCTGCTCCTGCCAACCTAGCAGTTCGAAAGCATGTCAAACTGCAGGTAGATAAATAGGTACCACTCCAGCGGGAAGGTAAACGGCATTTCCATGCACTGCTCTGGTTCGCCAGAAGCAGCTTAGTCATGCTGGCCACATGACCTGGAAGCTGTACGCCAGCTCCCTCAGCCAATAAAGCGAGATGAGCGCTGCAACCCCAGAGTTGTCCGCAACTGGACCTAATGGTCAGGGCTCCCTTTACCTTTTTAACACTTGAGACACTTAGCAATTCCCAAATATTTATTTTGGAGAAAATGACCAAATCAAACAGCCTACCTTCCTCATCCCTTCTCTTCCCACATCCTCCAGGGAAAAGAACTTCACCTTCACTTGCTAGCTTCACCAAAAAAACGGAGACCAGGAGAGGTCTCTGCTGGAACAGACAGGTGCAGCTTAGAATAGTCCCTTTTGAGTTTCATATAAAACAGCAAATGATAGAGCTGGGGTAGCTCAGTCGGTAGGGCACAAGACTGTTAATCTCAGAGTTGTGAGTTTGAGCAAAAGATTCCTGCACTGCAGGGGGCTGGACTAGAGGACCCTCGTGGTCCCTTCCAACTCTACAGTTCTCTGATTCTACGAAGGTGGCACCCCTCTGAACCCCAGTTGCTGGGAACCGCAAGAGGGGAGTGCCACGGTTTGCGGCCTTCCCGCTGAGGCCTCTGGTGAGCCACTGTGAGAACAGAGCGCTTGGCCGGATCCAGCTGGGCTCCTCTGTTCTCTCCCCCCACCCCCTAACCTTCACCTATTGAAGGCCCAGCCTTTGAGGAAGGCTTCCCCACAAAGGGGCCGAGGGTCTGCTCCCGCCAAGACCCGCTGCAGGGCTTAAGCCCCGTGTCCGTCAAGGTCGCTCTGCCACTCCGCAGCGGCCGGCAGCCTCTTGTTCGCCTGCCAGCTCCCATCTCGCGGCGTGTCGGCCAGAGAGAGGCCCCCCCGACACGCGGCATTAAGCACTCGACTGTGAGGCCTGTTCCGAGCCCGCGGGCAAAGCGCCTCAGGGGGCTGGCGGAAAATGCGCCCCGACAACCATGCCCGGCCTTGTGCAAAACACTAAAGTGTACGGAATCTCTCTCCGCCCCCGCCCCCCCCACTTCCCGGCAGCCTGAGAAAGAGTTGAAAAGCTGTAGAAATACAGGGGGACTTTTGTGGGTTTGGGGAGGCGGGCAGGGGAAAACGCGATTGTGAAACGACAATAATCCGTGGGACAAAAGGCCGCTCGGAAAAGAAGCGCACTGTTTCGCGCGCTTGGGTATGCGCGCGGCTTAAGAGAAGGGACCCAAACCGATCGGCCCATTGTCCGGTGCGTTGTTGCGGGAAGGAAGAAAGGAAAGCAGGCTCTGGGACAGATGAGTGACAGGGAGGAAAGTCCCTCGCACGGCTCAAAGGCACCCTCTCCCGTGGTGGCAAATTCAGAAGGGCACGGTCCCTTCGTGACGGTCACAGCCACCCCACCTCCTCACAGCCACCTCATTTCCTAAGATTATACAACTTTCTGCGATTATACAATATTCGTACAATTATACAATGATAATAATTAGGGATGCAGTGCAATGATCAATGCAGATCTCCACATGTTGCCTCTCAGCTAGATCTACTACTTTCGGTGCATGCACAAAGCATTTTGAGAGCTCCGTTATCTTAAGTTGTCTTTTCAGTGATGTTCCATTGGACGTTACAAAACTTGCACCTCAATCTCTTGAAACTGATGCGACTTGTGCTTTCAGAGTTCCTAAATGCTTAACTTTGGAGCAAAAAGAACAAGAAGAACTCGTGAGTGTTCTTCCCGCGCACACCTTCTCCCGAGTCACTCTGGGAGCCCACCCTCAGTGGACAACTCGCCTCCTTTCACTCTGATTGCCTCCAATCAACACAAAGGCTGAAAAGTGTCCTAAAAGCTCCCCTTTCGTGCTGATTTGGTGTCTGTAGGATGCTGGAGGCAAGGAGCCTGCTGCAGAAATAGTAAGGGGTCATTGGCCCACTCCTGTGACAACGACATCACTGCTCCCATGCCTATGTGGCAGCTTTGCTTGGGATTGGACCAAAAATATCCATCTATTCTGGCATTCTGATTTTGCCAGTGTTCAGCCAGGTGCCTCTGAGAAGCCCATAATTAAGCATGGAGGCCACAAGCCTCTCCCCTTTGCTGTTGGTGACCAGCAGCTATCACTGCCTGTGCACTCACAACTGTTGCTAGCATGAATTTATCTGCAATCTTATTCTCCTTTTTTTTTTTAAAAAGCACTAAGAAGGAAGCCTCCTACCAAGGTAGATGGCCCCTGAAAATGGGAGGGGTCCTCCCACCTAGCTTCCCATACAGCTCTCCTCCTCTGCAAATTGTCCCTATCCTCTTTTAAAGCCTGTGACGGCCGTCCCATCTTATAGCAGCGTTCAGAGGTAGACTGCACCTGTTATCAGCTGTTTTCAGTTACCTGCAATGGCTGGCAGCAGTCGCTGGACTTAACACTTCATGAACTTGCCCGTGATCTTTCCTGTCTTCAAGCACTAAGGAGGCAGCCTCTGGGTCCTCACCCCCTGCTTATTCAGAAGGT